ACTACGGCAGTGTAGTAGGATTTGAAATCAGGGAGTGAGATACCTCCTACCGTTCTTCTATTCTTAAGGAGTGCTTCGCTTATTCGGGGCTTTTTCCCATTCCATACGAAATTGGAGATTGCCTTTTCCATCTCGTTGAAGAATGGGGTTGGTATTTGTATTGGGATTGCATTAATGGGTTTCGTTTTGAAATGATTCTCGGGGTTTTCAGTGAGTTCTTCTTCAGGACTCTGTGATAAATCTTCTTTTTGTTGTTGTTTTTATTTTATACCAGTTTACTTACAAAGTTCACAAAGTTCACATACATTGTTTTTCACACCAGATCTTATCCCCCATCCCTCCCTCCACCCATCAAATTGTGTGACCCTATGATTAAGCACTGCCCTTCTTTGGATCCTCCAACTCATTCTATAATAATGATCTTATACAGTATTTGTCTTTAATGAGACTGAGTTAGTTCACTTGGCATAATGTTCTCCCATCCTTTCCATGTTAGGTAGTAATTTACAAAATCATTGCTCCTGCATGCTGCCTAGTATTCCTTTGTATGAAAGTACCACAATGTCTCAATCCATTTGTTTGTGGTTGGACATCTGGGCTGTTTCCATGTTCTTGCAATGGTGAATAATGCTGCTAAGAACATTGGTGTACAAGTTTCAGTTTGAGCTTTAGTTCTCACTTCCTTGGGATATATTCCAAGCAGTGGAATATCTGGGTTATATGAAATTTCTATGTTCAGCTTTTTGAGGAAATGCTAAACTGCCTTCCAGAGTGGATGTACCATTTTACAATCCCATCAACAACATATAAGAATTTCTATCTCTCCACATCCTCTCCAACATTTATTGCTTGCTGCCCTGTAAAACTTTGACACCACTACAGTGGTAAGAAGGTATCTCAGGAGAGCTCTGGTGGCCTAGTGGCAAGGAACTGCAACTACACTTCCAGAGGTGCACGGTTCAAATCCACTGGGGAAGGAGGGACAATCTTCTCCTGTACCAGTCAGATCTGATTTGACGGTACACTCACACACACACAAAAAAAAAAAATTAAAAAAAGAAGGTATCTCATTGTGATTTTTATTTGCATCTCTCTTACTGCCTGTGAGTTTGAGCATTTCTTCATGTGTCTGTTGGCCATCTGAATGTCCTCCTCTGTGAAAAGTCTTTCCATGTCTTTTGCCCATTTTGTAATTGGATTATCAGTCTTTTAGTTCTGGAGGCCCTATAGGATTCTGTAAACTTTCATTATGAGAGCCTTGTCTGAGATGGTTGCTAAATGTTTGTTCCCAGTCAGTAGGTTTTCTTTTCACTCTGTTGGAAAAAGTGTTTGATGCTCACAGACATTTAATATTTAGAAGGTCTCATTCATCGATTTTATCCTCTTTGGACTGTGCACTTCTGGCTGTATTTGGCCATCCCTTTATACCATAGACCAGGCCTTCTAAACATGGTCTCAGTTTGTCTCTTATGAATTTTATGGTTTTAGACTTTATTCCCAGGTCTGTGACCCACCTTGAGTTGATTTTTGTGTATGGTGTAAGATGTGGATCCTGTGTGGATGTGCTTTCTGCAGGTAGCAGTCCAGTTTTGCCAGCACCATTTGTT